AGGTGCAGGGTGGTGAGACCCACAGGGACTGGAGGCTCTCTTTCCAGCCCAGCCAGCACTGTCTGGTGCACTCTCTAGCCTAGGTGCTAATGGAAAAGGGGAAGGACCTATGGAAGATGGGAGACCAGGGGCAAGTCAGCAAGAGGTCTCTGAGGAGCCCAACACCCATGCTGCCTTCAGAGACCAAGAGAGACTGATGTCTCAGAGTCTATTAGGCTGGTAAGGGCACAGGGGGCAGGGAACACACTAAGCGCCCAACTCCCAACAGACCAGCTCTCCCGTACACACCATCAGGCAGAGACCCCAGTTCTGTCCTTTTGCTAAGCTAAGGCCTGGAGAAGGGGCAAGGACTTGCCAAGGACACAGAGTAAGATACAGGCCCTGGGGTTGAGCTCTAAGTAGCAGAAGCCCACGCTTGAGATTTGGACTTACAGTGATCAAAACCTGGCACGCTCCTTGGGGCTGGCTACCTGGGCAGCAAAGCTCCTTTGCCGGTCAAGCACCCACAGAGGTGGTGCCTGCAGTTCCAGGCCCCCCAGGCGAGCTGGGAGGGCAACGTGGGGACGGTGGACCCTCCACTGGGGTGGTGTGTGTGAACACGTGTGCACCTATGTGACATGTGCTCTGGGGGATCACACCTGGACGAGGTGCTCCTCACCTAGCCTTGGGACAGGACAGGACCCGACCTGGGTGGGGAGGGGGAGGGGAAGAGCAGGTAAAAAAGGCCCAGAGGGATACTCCACTCCACTGCTCCCCACCCCCGGTATGAACGCACCTCCTGGCGCCCAGCTGCTCTCTGGTGGTGGGAACCCTGGCGAATGCACCCCTCGACATGCTGGCTCCCTGAGGACACGTTCTGGGAGGGGCAGGAGACAGGGCCGAGTCCTGGGCCCCGGGGGTCCCCACCTGTGCCCGCACCCCCTCGGGGGCGGGGGAAGGCACAGGTGACATCACCTGCGGTTCCAAGGGCGTCTGCGGCGGCGGCGTCTGCGGCGGTGGCGGCAGCGGGGCAGCGTGACCTGCGCACTCCAATTGCCCGGCGGTCTCCAGGGCGACGCGGAGGGTCCGCGCTCCGCTGCCACTGCGCCCCCGCCCTGGGTCCCCACTGCAGTGAGCGGTGGCGAGCAGGCGCTGGAGCGCTGGTCCACGTGCGGCGGGGAGACAGGGGCCGGGAGCGGGAGACAGCGGGGGAAAGTGGGGCGCCGGACCCTGTGGGCGCTCAGAGCTGCCCCTGGCCCGTCCTGCTGGGACCTCGGCCAGGAAGGAGCCCGACCGAGACGAAGGTACCAGACCCCGGGAGGGTGCGCTTGGCCCCGGGAGACCCCCACCGCCCTCCGCCAGCCTCGGCGGGACTGCCACAGCCTGCGGGGACGGGGACCGGGACGGCGTGGGGAGGGGCTGTGGTCCCCGAGGGGCAGGCGGAGAGCGGGGCGGGGTCTACCCTGGACCGCAGGGGCGCGGTGGGGGGAGGAGGGGCAGCACCGGGCGGGGGCGGGGGCGGGGGCGGGGCGGCCTTAACCTCGCTCTTGTCCGGTTCGCATTCACAGGCTGTGGAGTCCTGGGCCATCTGCTGTTGCTCTGGGAGTTGGCCCAGATTTATGTGCATCACACACCGATGATTCTCCCCTAAATTAAACTCCGCAGAGTTAGGAAACATGCCATTGAGCCTGTTGCAGGACTGGTGTCGGGGCGGGGTGGGCGGGGACATCTGAACACCTGGAGGTCCATACTCATTCTGGGGATTCCTGAGGCCTGTGGTGAGGATGAGTTTGAGGACACTCTTCAGGACACTTTCAGGCACCTGGGCAGGTGTAGGGTCATTGGCAGGATATTTAGGAGGGAGGAGAATGACCAAGGGTTTCTCCTAGAGCTTAGCCAAGATACCGACTATGCTTTGAACCCCAGGGAAATACCAGGAAAGGGAGGGCCCTAAAAAGTGGTTGTAAAACCTTGTAGCTCAGATGGCGACTTTCTCAATAGACTGAACTGCTTCTTAGAGGAGGAGAGGTGGACAATGTCAGACATGAACAGAGTCCTTGGATCCAGACACCAGCTGTCCTGCTCCGAGAGTGGCCATGTCACCTGATTTCTGAACCTGGGCCCAGGCCCCGGGGACAGCCGCACAGCCTCTGCTAGAACAAAGGTACCGAGAACTGAGAGTATTTTCTGGGAACACCATGTACATCCCAGGGGTGATGGTATTTTAAGCCTGGTTCCAACACACCACTGAGGTGCTACAGGGTGCCTGAAGGGGAAAAGAGGCGTTGGCTGATGGGGTGCTTGTGGGGCCCTGCCCTCCAGGTGGTCAGTGGGCTCCAGGCCCACAATGCTGCCCTAACTGTGGAGGAGTGCCTGGCAACCCTGTGGCAGGCGTTTGGACCTGTGGAGGGCCGTAAAATTGCCCGTGTGAAATTTTGTAAGGCATATCAGGAGGCAGGTGAGAAAGTCTCTATCTTTGTGTTACGTTTGGAACACCTGCTCCAGAGAGCTGAAGGAGAAAAAACACTCTATTACGAAGGAATGAAAATCAGGGTGGGGCCACCCTTACTGACAAACTTCAAAACAGGCTGATGAAACAACAAAGGAAGCCTCCTAGGTTCCTGGCACTGGTGCGGCTCCTGCATGTGGAGGAGGACTGGGAGACCACTTTCAGGCCAGAGAGAGGCTGGAGTGGCCAGAAGCAGGCATAAGTTCATCTGCCAGAGCCAGCGGTTCCAGGGCAGTATCCTTCCCTGCCCCTGGATGTGCCCAGCAGGCCAGGCCTTCCCAAGGTTCCTGACGCAGAGGGGGCAGAGGCCAACACCAAAAGGAGGTTGTGCCAAGGGCCAGCACTCCAGGCTCAGGAAAACAGAAACACCACATGTCCTGCAATAGCGGTGGAGAAGACGGCCACATGAGGGCACAGTGCAGCAACCGGGCAAGCCTGCTCTTGGTAAAGCAGAAGAGACAAACTGCCATTCAGTCGGGAAATGAGAGCTGGGTTTGGGACAAGACCCATCCCAAGCTAAGGTGAAGTAGGCTCAGGAGAACAAGGCAAGGCTTCTTACTGTGGGCCCAGGAGACAAAATAGTTATTGGAAGAAGGGGAAGGGGCAGTCCACACAAACACCATGGGGCTTGAGCGAGGCACAGGGGCAGGGAAGCCAAGCCCAGGTCAAGCCTCCTTGTCCTCTGCCAGCTGAAAGGGACTCCATCGGCCAAGCCACAAGCAGCTCAGTGAAGGCCAAGCACGGGGCTCTGAGGAGGTGCTGGTGACCCAAACAGGGGGCCACCATATTTAGCACACGGGCTGCCCGAGCCTTAGAGACCCCAACGCAGCAGACGCTGAAAGGGTGTGGCCAGGTGTGTGATTC